ACCCATGGCTCAAAAAGTCTCAGTATTTATTTCATATCTTTTGTAAGCTCTAATTGGGTTGTCATCAATCACCAAAAAGGGAGAGATTGAAAGTGCAATCAAGCCTTAATTGTGGGTTTTGGTGATAATGACCACGCAATTAGAGAACTAAAGAGATTTATCAAGATGACAAGCAGGGAATTTATATTCGAGAATGCTACATGGAACGGAGGAGCCCCCAATTATAAATGTAGATGGTTTCAAACTCAAAGGAGGTTTAAATTCTTTTATATATTAAATTTGAGTATAGGAAAAGCCGTACTATAAAGGGGGTACAATGCTTAAGCTAATATGTGCTACCAAGTGCTCAAACAACCACATGCATCCTTAGATTCACAACAAAGACAGTCTACACTTCACTATTACCCTTGATGTCTTGCGTGGTGCGGCACTGCCGCACTTGGAGAGAGGCTTGCCCGACCCCTTAGTCGCGGGGTCTGGCTCACCCGACCCCTTGGTCGTGGGCTCCGTCTTGCCCGACCTTGAGGCCGCAGGCTTTGTCTCGCCCGACCCCTTGAGTGTAGTGTTCGTTGAGGGCTGGGGGTATATACACCTTTCCCTTTCCTCCCCAATGGCTATCTGTGATTCAAGTGACCGTTTGGGGGTGGGGGTATATATACCTTCCCTTTCCTCCCCAACGGATACTAGCTCTCTTCTTCCTCACTTCAGCACGCCCAAAACAGAGCAGGAGCTCTCTCTCTCTCTCTCACTTCATTGTTGACCTTAAGTCCCTAAGCAAATCCATTGATTTCCCTATCAATCCTTGAGGGAAAAAGGGTCCAACTTGATTTGAGAGCAACTCCATTGATTCCCAAACTCAAAAGAGCACTTGGTTCACATTTTAGCCAGCGGTTGTGTTTGTTACTCTTAGAGCTTGGCTCCTAGCCGACTAGAGCGTCACCCGTGGAGCTTGCCAACTTGTGTGGTAGCCCCGGGAGGTTTATAACCACCTCTTGCAGCGATTAAAATCACCCCTCATCTCAAGAGTTCACTCTCTTGACTTGAGAATGAGGTAGAGTAGCAAAGCCTTAAACCTTAGTGGTATACCTCAACAACGTGTACTTAAGCAAGTCTTGGTGGTGAGCTGAACCACGGGATAAATCCTTGTGTCATCTTATGCTTGTGTTGCTACACTTGTGCTCTTATTGTTGTTGAGGTGATTTCTAGGGTTTGAGTCCGATCTACTTGTGTGTGGTGTTCCCATCACCTTCAGCTATCGATCTGTGATCTACTACCATGCAGAAAGCTAAGAAATTTACCCGATCTAAATTTCGTTGGGTAGATTTTGAATTGTGAACTAATCTCTCCTGCAGGCGCGGCATCACCGTTGTTTAGTGTGGTAGTGCTACTGTGCGGCTGTGCCATGCTCATAGAGCGGCAGTGCCGCGGGTGAATTTGACTTCGGTTTGAGTTGAATTTTTACAGGCCATTCGCCCCCCCTCAAGGCGTACTAGAGATCCTACAAGGGCCCCTCGCCGACGTGCATGCTTGCCCGAGGGTGAGCGCGCCGCCGTCGAGCGGCCTTGTGGCGACGCCCTAGACCCCTGATCCTACGGAGCTCCCCAAAACCCTAACTTCAATTTCTCTCTCTTCACCGCGGCGCCGGCTTTCACTCCCCTTCTCACCCCGAAACAGTCAGAGAGAAGAGTGGTGGTGCTGCCGTGGCGCCCTTCGCAGATGCACGCGTGCGGCTGGAGCCGCGCGCGGTGCCATTGAGCGGCACCGCGATGGTGCTCTTAGTCCCCACAGACGCTGTAGTAAGGGCTCCCCTAAACCCTATATCAAAGTGCGGCGCCGCCGCAGGTCCCCTCGCCGGAGCGCATGCTCCCCAGTGGGTGAGCGCGCCGCCATCGAGCAGTCCTATGACGGTGCCCTCGGCCGAGGCTCGCGCGCACGGCGACAAGCGTGGCTCAGCTTCTCCCCGCGTGCTAGCGAGGTGATGGCGGAGCTTCTTCCCGCTCGACGGCGGTGGTGACGGAAAAAACCGGGTAGGTCTCTCCCCCTTCCGTCCATTCTTTCTAGGGTTAGGGTTGGGGTTTCTGATCCGATTTGGATCACTTCTTTCTTGATTTCTTTTCTGTTTTCTACCCCAAACTAGATCTACCCACTAGCAACCATGGCTCTGGTACCATTGATGGCGCGGAGAAAGTACTTCTAGGCGTAGATCAGTGGGTAAGACTTGACTTAGATGGGATGACTTGCTGATATACCTCACCAAAAAGGCAGTTGCGGCCATGGCACCGCCGACGAGGTAGCAGCGACGTGGAGGCGCGGTCCCGTGGCGATGGCGAAGGCAATGGCGCTTCCCGTCGCTTACAACGCGCCCTTTTAGATCGGACTAGGGCTAGGACATGGTGGGGCGCTGGCGGCTGCGGTGAACCTTGTATCTCGAGCCCCAGCCCCCACCTCCTATTTATTACGCTGCGCGGCAGGAGCCCATCAGCCAGGAGAACAGCTAGACGCCCCCGATCAGGATGCGGATCAAGAGTCCAATTGTTCGTTGGGCTAACAGGTGGAGCGCTAGGCTCCAACCTGATCAACATAAAATCAGGTGCCTAGAGCTTAAGGCCCAGTTGTTAAAGAAACTTTCTCACAAAAGCTATAAAAACCTGTTTTTATAAACCAACTATCAAGAAGCAGCTTGTTTTCAAGTACCTAGCCAGTTTTTGAAACTTGCTCTCAGAAAGATCATTTTTTCCTTTTTTCCACTAATTTCTCTTTTGGGATAGATCAACACGAGCTTGAAAATTCTTTCGTTCCTGGACTAACTAATTGGTAAAGTATCTAGAAGACACTACCACAGAAAAGGGTTTCAAACACCATGGATTTTCGATTAAAACTAAACCCAGCAATAAAAATGTTTGTGGACTACGGCCCGATCATCAAGATACGGAGGGAATTTGTGGCATCAAGAAATCAAGAAACAAGTTATACAAGAAATCTACTTATTACATTCTGACGTAGACAACGGCAACCACGTCATGGCAGTGGTTATCAATCAAGTAGAGAATTTCCGCAGAACATTCACAAAAAAAAAAGAGTTTCCGCAGAACATTTTTCGTTCGTTTCTAAAAAAAAGAACATTTTTCGTTGGTGATTTGGGCCTACCGAAAGAAGAGGAGCTGATTTGGGCCACTTCAGGCCCGGTCCTTTCGGGATGTAGGTCCACTTCAGATCTGAAATATTGACAGGACATTTAGGTCCATTCTCAAAAAAAAAAAAGATAGGACATTTAGGTCCGGTTTGAATATCCTGGGATTTTTAGAATCTAGACTCTTGAAGGTAGATTTTAGAATCTGGATTCTAGATGTAAAGCTACTTGTTTGGATTTGGATTTTACATTTAGATAATAGTTATTTGAAGTCTTCTTTTCTCTATAATAATCTCAACCATTTTTTTGGCTGATATGGCTATGAATTGGCACCAACTACAAATAAAAAAAGCCATGCAAATGCATGTGTTGGTTTTTTTTATCCCACCTGTTTGGCTGCTGGGAGGACAAACAAACTCTGTTGGGTTGGCAAGGGTATTTTGCGTCTGGCTTGTAGGCGCAGGGGCTCGGCCCATGAGGTGAGTTCGGTGGAGAAGATGAAGGCTTTATAAGCCAATTGTAACAAAGGGATCAGTTAACGAATAATGCGATAACTGTCTCGTCAATCCTTCTCTGCTCTTCTGAGTTCTTCTGCTTTCTCCCGAAATCCATGCTCCCCAAATTCCATTCCTAGCTACTCCAGTTTGTGAAGGAATACGGCGCTCCACACGATAGGCCTGGTCCTTTTGCGCCTGAAAGCTTTTCTAAGCTCGGATGGTTTTTTTTTCCTCAAATACGCAAAAGGTTTGCGCATCATTGTATTAAGATTGAGATAATGAGTGTTACAACGACGCGCGTCATGAACCAGGCGCACTAGGGATGGGTTGTGAGTTATCGTAGGGAATTGTTGTTAGTTTTTCCTGTCTTGCCAAAAGATCACGATTGATAGTGGTTTTACCAAACTGTTGGTTCTTGAATCTTTGACCAAACAGATGCAACTTCCAAGCTATCCAAATTGCTGAAAGATTTTGGTTTTGGCCCACAAGTTGGCCAAAGTTTGGCATATAATTCAAGCCAAATCAGGTCATTGCTACTTTGCTAGCATATTGCAGCCTTGGGCAGCAGCAGCGTTATGGATCATCTCTGTTCAACTTGTTGTCTATTCTGTCCAAAACCTAGGCCCCCAGCTCCACCTACCATTTCTGAATCAGTAGCAATTACAGTGAACTAAGGACCCTTGTTTGGAATGCAGAAAATTTCCTCATTTTCATATGAACTGATCCGGTTGCAAAATTGCTGCAGAAGTGCTATGAAACCCCTCTGCGGTCACAAGGCGCTCACTTAAATAAATCTCATGCAACACATCTCAGTATATTTACAGAAGCAAGAGATCATCTGCATGTCCATAAAGAAACACAAAATCTTTACTACCACTGGTCCATTAAGAAACACAAAATTTTTACTACCACTGCAGTATTGAGCATGTCAAAGGCTATGCCATGACACCTACATAACAATGCCCTTCAACTCTGGAGCCTGTATGCTAAAATCCATACAGCATGAATAGTAGAGCATCATAACTTGAATGGAACCTGTAATCCTATTGACATTCAGAGACAACGCACGTCTGTTTCTCAAGTTGAATAATACAATGGGGCACGGCAAAACCATTCAAGAAGAGCCTGAAACCAGTGGGTCACAGCCCTCTTGTAAGCAGCGTGCTGCTAAAGCTATATAGCGGCTAGGCTAGCACTACATATATGGGTACAGCCCTAGCCAAACAAAATTATACTCAAGCTTACGAACATCTTATAGTCTCATCTCATTGTATCTTCCTATCCTCCTGCCTCATCCAGATGCAAAAGAAGATATTATCCAGCTTTCATGTTGATGGGTAGGCGCTCACGGAGTAGTAGTTTACGGACAGCAATCAGAGTAAGATCTGCAGTTTTGTGCTGGGACACACTTCGCTGCTGAAGCTGATGTTCCTGGGCTGGCCAAGGCGCACAGGCTCTGTGCCGTTGTTGCTTGCTGGGGTGATGTCTGTGGATGAAGATTTGGTTGGAGCACTAGCACTGCCTACAGTGTCACTGCTCTCTAGCGGACTCTTCGATGTCGGGTATGGCTCAACACTAGTTACTCTGCAGAGAGAACAAGGGTGCGAGGAATGAAGATTAGTCCTGACACAGGGATCGATCGGATGTTGATGATAACAAGTTTGAGCAAAGCATAGGAAGTATAACAAGACACAATTGTTACCTCTCCTTTCGCTTCTCCAAGAATCGGGCAAGAGATGCTTTCCGAGCTTGAGGGACAGCTAGAACAAACAAAAACATGGATAAATCAGATGTGTTGTACGAATCATTACAGCAGTAGCTAATTATTAGTTACTCCTGTATCTTAATACACATCCAGTGGAAACTGCAAGCAAGTGATAACAATACCTCTTGGCGTAACAGCTGCAGCACTTGTAGTTGCCAACGGCTGAGATGAGGTTGCCTGGCTGATAGGAGCAGTGACTGGTGGTTGAACAGCAGGTTTCGAACCGCAGGCCTCTGTAGTACAGTGAGATGTGCTCCTAGAGAGAGTCACAACTTGTGGCATGATGGCGATTGGACTTGAAGTGCTTGATAAATGAGGCACGCAAGGCTCCGATTTCTGAATTACAATCTGCCTAGCAGGGAAAACCTCAGGCACGTTGACCTTTGCAGGGGCAGAAATAGGGGAATCCGGTTTGTGGGACGCACTTGGCGGGCTAGGAATAGATGCCCTGCTGGCTAACATCATAAGTTCTTTAGCCTGTCATAGTTGAAACACAACAATCAGCAAATGTACCGACGAAACTGCTGTGGTGACATCCAATCCAAGTGTTCCATTCATAGCAAAGGTAACATACCTTCTCTACCGGGACGTTATCAAAAACATTCACCGAACCGTTGTAGAATATTGTCAGCTGCGTTGAGGTCTGATTCCGGGAGTTCCTAAGGAAGTCGGTCAACCATCAATTTGTGAGCTCAAAAACCATATTATATCCCAATAATTATGAGTGCAGAAACCATGTCCAGAGAAACTTATCAATACCTTGCGCCGTACACGCCAACTGTAGAGCCACCAAACCCGTTGCTCATGGTGAAAGGCTGCTGATTCTTAGAGGGGACACCGGTGCCATTGTGGAAGCTCTGCGACCTGACCATCAGGTTGGCCTGATTGAACGGCACAGGGTGGAGTACCGACAGCGGCTGCACTAGCCTGGATCCACCAGGGAGATGATGAAGCGCCGCCGCGCTGTAATCCATCCCCTGCAAGCGCTGGCCGCCGTGCGCTGCGGCAGGATACTGCTGTGCCGTGACCTGGCTGCTGCTGAGCCCGAACTGCCTCTGCAGAAACCAAGTGAACACTTCAGATTACCGAGCTTCTGTGTCCAGCAAGCACCTCAGTCGCAAAAGCAGGACGGTGACAGCGAGCTCGGGGGAGTGGCGTACCTGCTGGTGCTGGGAGATCACAGGCAAGGAGGTCTGCTTCTTGATGCCGTCGAAGGCGTCTCCGGTCGGCCGGAACCCGGAGATCGAGAACTCCTCAGAGCCCTCCTCCCTCGCCGTCCTGAAGGACATGAACGCCGGTGCGGCGCCGGACTTCGCCGGGAACTGCCACTGCGTCGCCGCCGGGTTATCTGTAGCACCGAAATCTATCTCAGAGAAATTCGCAGTACAGCGCAGGTCAAATCTGACGCGCGGCACCAGCGGCGTTACGTCCACATGACGCAGTGGACCAAAGAATACGAAATTAATTTACTATATAATACAAGAGCCAGTAAACCTTGGTTGCGACCACGAGAGGAAATAAATTATCTCTGACCTGTTGAAGAACTAATAATCCTCAAGCTCGCCGCAAATAACGGCGGATCAGACGGCCCACACGCCGAATCGTTACTACAAGGAACGCGTCGCCGTCGCTCGCATACTACGGTTAGGTTAATCACGCTTTCAGGGCATGGAGAGAGAGAGGTTAGCACTGACCTAGTGGCTCCGTTCGGCTCTCCTCCACCACCACCTCGCCGCCGCCCTTCCCGGCCCTGTCAATCACACCCAGGAAATCCCTCTCCATGGAAGCAAAGCAAAGCAACCACCGGAGCGGAGCCGGCGAAAGAAATCCCTTCCGCGTCGCCTCGTCCCAAGAATCTTCTCCCCTGCTCCAGTGGCGGTGCCGAAAAGAAGAAGAAGCGGCACCGCAGCTCGGATTCCGTAACCTTTCTCTCCCTCCTCAGCTCGCTGCTTACCCTTTCCTCTCTCTCTCTAAACCACTTTCTCCCGCTCGCTTATTTATCCGCGAGATTTAGGAAGGAGGGGATGCGGAGGAGGAAGAAAGCCGCGATGATTAGCTGCTTAATTAACCAGCTCATTAATTAACGAGATGGGGTGCGACGGGTGGCGGTGGGCCCCGCCACGGCGACCGGCTACCGGCGAGGCGAGGCCCCCACGTGGTACGTACGCCACACGGGGCGCGCACCTCCGCTGAACCTCACGCGTCCGATGACACGCGGGCTCCGCCTCGCGTGGGGCCGGCACGTCGGCGGGCGCTGGCGCTCGCGCGCCGCTGCCTCGTGCTCGTGCCGCGTCTGGCTGTTTGCGCCGCCGTGGCGTGGCGTGGCGTGGGGACCGCCCACGTGCGGAGGGATCCGGCACGTGCCCCCAGCGAGCCACACCCACACAAACCGAATTGCCCCGCGCGCGCGGGGTCACGACTCACGAGGGACGAAGCGTGGGCCCCACGAGGGACTGCGGGATTCCCTGCGCGCCTGCGCGCCTCTCGGTGGGGCGGTGGAGCCCACGTGGCGTGTGCGCGCATCGAGGGCATTATAGTAATATATTTAACATTAAAAATTATGTCACGGGGCGGCTAACGTCGGAGGTTATTATTCGCGTGTGTGGTGCGGTCGCGTCGCGTTGTTTGCGCTCAGTTTACTGAGCGCGTGGTTAGTTGCTAAACAAAATTAAAAAAAAAGTGCTACAGTATCCATCACATCGAATCTTGCGATACGTGCATGGAACATTAAATATAGATAAAAAAATTAATTGTACAGTTTAGTTGAAAATTGCAAGACGAACGTTTTGAGCCTAATTAGTCCATGATTGAACACTATTTGCCAAATAAAAATGAACGTGCTACAGTAGCCCAAATTCCCAAATTCAGGAAACTAAACACGCTCTGAATACTCTACTATTTCGTGTGGTCGCTAGCTTTCAAACATCTTAGCTTTGCTTCTGTGTGCTCCTTAGATTTTCTTAGCTTTGCTTTTCTTTTGTCCAACAAGACTGATGTGACCAACTTGTTTAATTCAGGCTTTGTTTATTTGCTCCCAACTTCTAACTTTGACACTATGCAAAAAAAAGATTCTTCGTCACATCAAATTTGTGGTACATGCATAGAGTACTATATGTAGACGAAATCAAAAACTAATTGCACAGTTAGGTTGTACTTTGCAAGACGAACGTTTTGAGCCTAATTAGTCAATGATTGGACGATTATTACCAAATACAAACAAAATGCTACAGTACGCTACAGCAAATCCGACGGCGCCAAATTCGGTCAAACTAAACAAGGCCTCAGTGCCAGAGTGTGGCGGTGGGTGGAAGACCATGTTCCTACTCAAGGGAGAACGAATGCTAGCTCCCTCGTTTCGCAATGCATATTAGGGCCCATATGATTTACTTTTCTTTCAAGTAATGTACGAGTTTAATTTTTATTGTTTATATATGTCGATCACTACTAAAATTTAGGAAATTTTCAAATATGTAAAAGTGACTTTAAATTTGTTTATATAAGAGGAGTAGGTTAAGAATACCAATCATATATACTTATAAATATTGACCCGTTCGTTTCGTTGAAATTTAATTTTATACTGATGTTTATACTGATTTGTTGTGAGAGAAAAATATTGTTCATTTACTGAAAAGTGGTGCTACAGGACAGAGCCATTGGCTTGTAGATATATGATGAGAGAAAAGAACAATGCTCAAAGTTAGAGTAGTAGAAGCAAATACAGGTCCATTTGGACTAACTTATGGACACGGTGGCACGCATCTTAGTTATCATGTAATCATTGTCATTGTTAGGATGATTGACCGCTTAATCCATTATATTGATTAGGTCAAAATGGCACTACTCAATTTACAAGTTCTCATCTGCTGACCCAGTCATTCACACCCTACTTATAGAAGTAGATGTGTATGCATGGGTGTTTATAGAGATACGTTTGATGTATATAAGCATCTGCGCTTGTACCGAAAGTAAAGCCTAATGGTCAATTAAAACCCTACTTAACAATATCTATGCAAGATATCTATCTAGGCGTGCACTATGATTTTGCTAATTATTGCTATCTCTAACGCAAAAGAGTTATACAATCTAGGTTCTAATTCTATCAGTTGTCGCCTAGAATAATTTTCTCTGATCTCTTCTCCGTTTTGTTGTGGTTAGATCTGATCACGATGAAGGACTAGTGAGAATAAGTATGTCCCTCAAGCTGATTAATGGTATTGAGTTGAGAAGATTCAGATCGGTTTTCCTTATTCTTCGGTGGTAGAAGGAAAAAGAAGGACGACAAAAGAAAGAAGAAATTTATGCTCAATTCCGCTACAGAAGTGTTGGCCGTCGTTCTTGGGCATATATTCTCAAGGCTTTTGTCGAGTGTTTGCTTTTGCTGTCATCCATATAAATCATCATACAGGTTTAGATTTGAGATTTGGACCTACACGAAGCGTGAGTACAATGTAGATGAAGAACAATTTCTGGCAGTGTTCGCCTAAACGGCCTAAACGGCCACTAAACGGTAAACGGTGGTAAACTAATTTGTTTAGGGGGTAAACGGAAGTTAAACGGTTGACCATTTAAACAGTCAAAAACGGAAAAAATGGTCTAAACGGCCTAAACGGAATAGAGATAAACAGTATTAAACGAGCTAAACAACTGTTTAAACGGCTATTTAGGCGAACACGAGGTAAATCTAGTTCAGTTTTGTATGGATAAATTTGTATACTTAAGTTTATTATATTTATAAATGTGTACACTTGATATATTACATGCATAAATATCTATATTTGGTTCTTTTCACATGCATAAATATATATACATACCAAAATAATTGATTTTTACTCGGATAAATATGTATAAATGCTAGAATACTTGATTTTTTACATGCACATATATAATTATATGTATTTTTTTTAAAGTACAAAACCGTTTAACTTCGTTAAAACACCACGTAAACAGCCTAAACGCTAAACGAAGGGCGACCGTATAAAGACCGTTTACCGTTTAGGAAAACATTAGTTTCTAGATATACGAATTGTATTTTAGAGTGCTTGTAACATGATAATGTACTCATCTATAATTTAATATAATTCTTCTTTGGTCTAAAAAAAAGAAAGTTAAACTAGAAAAGGTAAGCGCACGACCTAACAAAGCAAATACGCGTGGAAAACATAAATGAGTTAGAGATGCAAACTCCCATGATGATTTTCCTGGGGCATGAAGAAACTCTCATTTCCCTCTAGTCCTCGTTGGAGCCTCTCACAAGGATGCCCTTATATGGGCCAAGCTTCCGGTTGGATAACTCCAAGGATAGCCCATAAACCTTCCCCATGCGCAAGCGGGTGTCCATGTGTCCTCTCTTGGACCGCTCTCCGTCGTCTTCTATGTTGAGCTTTCGGCTCAAATGGCGTGTGCTTTGTTGCCTCCGTTACAAGCTAGCCACACTTCAATTGCAATATTTATGGGACAGAGGGAGTATATAAGAGTAGTTTAAGAATTCCGATACTTATAAATATTGGCTTGTAGATATATGATGAGAAAAAAAGAATAATGCCCAAAGTTGAGAAGTAGAAGAAACACACTTACTCAGATCTTAATCTGAAGTAAATGTAAGTCCATTTAGACTAACTTATGGACATAGTGGCACGACATCTTAGTAGTCATGTAATCATTGTCATTGTTAGGGTGATTGACTGCTTTATCAATTATTGATTAGACTAAAATGACACTACTCGACTTACAAGTTCTCATATGCTGGCTCAGTCATTCACACCCTACTTCTAGGAGTAGGATGTGTATGTGTGAGTGTTTATAGAGATAGGTTTGTCTATATGTATTTGAGCATTTGTGCCTATATACTGGTAGTAAAAACTAATGGCTAATTAAAATCCTACTTATCAAAAACTATGCAAGATATCTATCTAAATGCACGCTACGGTTTTACTAAATGTTGATATCTCTAACGCAAAAGAGTTATGCAACCTAAATTCCAATGCTATCAACTAACCTAGCAAGTTAAACTAGAAAAAGCAAGGACTCAATCTAAGAAAGCAAGTAAGTGCTATAGAACACGAATGAGTTAGAGATGCAAACTACCGCGATGACATTTTTTTCCAGGGCATTAAGAAGCTCACGCTTTCCTTAGTCCTCGTTGGAGCCTCTCGTAAGGATGCCTTTGCAAGGGCCAAGCTCCCGGTCGGTAACTCCATGGATAGCCCACGAGCCTTCCCTATGCGCAAGTGGGTGTCCATGTGGCATCTCTTGGACTACTCTTCGCCGTCTTTCGTATTGAGCTTCTTGCTCAAATGGCGCGGGCGTTGTTGCCTCCAGTGCAAGCTGCCCAGCCACACCATAAAATACAATTTGTGTGATATCACAAGATTGCAAGCCTCTATTGTACAAAAATGATGCACGCAAGCACTGAGCAGCGAAAAGGTATTCAAACCTCACTAAATATTAAGCCTAAGCTTGAAGAAAAGCACTAGTGCAGTGGTCTAACTAGCCTAAGTTCTTTGCATAGCACTACGCTAATCACCTAATAATTCATTTAGCACTTTTGGTGGCTAAAGCACTAAAGATGAGCCTCAACTCACTAGCAACTTCCCATAGCTCTAACACACTTCAAATGGTCGGCTTGGGGGTTTTTATCGCCTCCAACACAAAATATAGCCGTTGGCAAAGGACCGCCCACGAGCAGTGCCCACCAAGAAGGTTCGATGAGGCCACCAGTGCTTGCCACTTAGACTAGTCATTGGACTAGCCATTGCCGATCGTTTGAGGTCTTTTCTCTGGTG